CCCCTAACGGCTTTCCGCTGTGCGGGGGTGTCGTCGAGGACGCACGGCATCGTTTGTGAGTTATGAAGTTAAATTCAGGATGATGGTGATATTACGCGAAAATGGGGGAACAGGGGCAAGGGGTCTCGTCATAGCTGGTTCGAGAAGATGGTTGTATTAAATATATGTACGGAAGCTTGGGGGACTGCATTTTTTAACGTCGTTGCCCTAGGCCACAAAGGAGACTTGTGCATTTTTTTTCCACGGTGCGATGTGACGTGGTGCAGGTGCTGGTGGTTGACAACGGTGGCCTTGCGGGCATCTTCACGGAAAAGGACATGCTGAACCGCGTACTGTCGAAGGGGATTAACCCCGATGAGATTTCGGTTGAAGATGTCATGACGCCCAACCCTGACACGGTTTCGTCGACCATGACCGTCCTGGAGGCCTTGCAAGAGGTGAGTGTTGAGACTGTTGCATTGGACTGTTGACAATGTTGAATGGGGCTGTTTGACTCTGCAAGAGGTCATTGCTTTGACGATTGCATTGGACTGTTGGTAGGTCAGAGTTTAGACTATTGCATTGGGCTCTTCGATACTGCATTAGGTGAGCGGTTAGGCACCGACACAGACGTCGCAGGTCCACAGTACTTGCGCCCGGCGAGATAGCAAGACAACACCCGCACGGTCAAACACACACACACTCGCAGGCCCACACCACCTCCTCACGCAGGCCGGAAGTACGCCGGAGGGATGGTGGTATTGATGCAGATGTGATTGTCATCATGTGGTGTATTTTTCCGCGCGCAGAATAACACCCGTCGCGATCGATCAAGTCGTGGCGGCACTCGCCCCGGACCCGGACATCCCGAAACCGCCATATATGAGTCGTCTTCACCAAACACATGGTCATGACCTTCGAGGTCGTCTGCGCTCAGCAGTCGCCCGCTGGAGGGCGTCGTGTACCCCGTCCTACAATAGTCCTACAATAGTCCTACAACAGTCCTGCTGTGTAGTCCTCATCTCCCGGTCGGGGCCCGCCATGAGGATCAAGTGCGGGGACGAGATGCCACCCTGTAACCCAACGTGCAACCTTACCATGGACGTTCGTTCTGTTGATTGCAACAGCGAAAGTTGCCCCCGTAAGCACCATGATTATTACGTACGTGGTGCCAACGGGGGGAAATTTTGCTGTTGTATTCAATGTGACATCCATCGCCAGGTGGCACGTTGCGTTACAGGTGGCATCCCGTACCAGCATTTGGTCCTCGAGAGGGGTCCCGACCGGGTGAACCGGACTATACTGCTACAGAAGGACTATCGTAGGACTATTGCAAGACTTTCGTAGGACTGTTGTAGGACTGTTGTGGGACTATTGTAGGACTATCGTAGGACTGTTGAAGGACGAGGCAGACGACGTCCTCCATGGGCGACTACTGAGCGCAGACGACGCCGAAAGCCATGACCTTGTGTCCGGTTACGACAGATGCACCGGACTGATAATAAACACAGCGGGAAGGTCTATCGATCATATATCTAAACATAACGAAATAGAAGTAAAAAGGTCCAGGAAGAAAAACAGGAAGTGCCGGGGTTGACGTGGGCTTCGTCGGAAATCACCGCGTGTCGGTCGTTGATTATCCGCTTCGACGGGGTGCTCGGTCTGAAGGGCGCGCTCAAGATCCCGTTGAGTGGAGCAACACAAGAGCGGTGACGGCGACCCCGTTGTTTCTCAAAGCATAGGAAGTGCCTGTGTAACTCTACCCCGCTTTCAAGTCCCGAGGCATGTCTCCATCGAATGGTACGCCCGCACGTATCTCTGGAAAACTGAAGAATGTACCCGGACCTCCTCCATCTTTAAACCTACTCCTGACCGGACTTGAGAGCTTTCAAACTAGCGCGGTGGGACCTGTAGGCTCTGGGTAGAGGGTTTAAGGAGGCGTGGCTGGGGGGCGGGGTTGACGAAGTCGAGCGGGGCGGTGAAGGAGCACGAGGGCTGGGGGGAAGGCGAAGGGGACGGGGGGACGGGCTGTCACAGTCGTGAGTAGAGTCGGAATATGACCATAATCTGTCACAAGTTGACTCCGCTGCCTCGCCCGGGCCACACCTACTGCTTATTTGGCCGGCCCGTGCCCCTCCCTTTGTTGGTGCTGGTATAGTATGTACTGGTATAGTCTTCCAACTGTTTTCTTCATGTGGCGCTGTTGTGGACTCTGGACTGTGGCTATTTCATCAACCTGGTGCTGGTCTTCTTTTACAAGCATGTGAACCACTCGCCGATTCAGTCCGGTTCTACCCGGCGTTGTGTCAGCCCCCCCCCCNGTCTCCCCCGTCTCCCCCGTCTCCCCTCCCCGTCTCCCCTCCCCCGTCTCCCATGCCCCATCCGGTGAGGGAAACCCGTGCCCCGCTAGGCTTTGTCGGCCCCGCCCGCTTTCAACCTTTCCATAGCGCCTCTTGTTCGCCACGCTAGTTGTAGCGCCATCATGCCTGCCGGGAGGCTGTTGACATCGCGATATGGTCTCGCTACTCTTTTCTGTCTTTCGGGGTGTGAGGGTGTGCCTTGCGACCAAAGACGATATTTCAAGTTCTGATCCGGGAGATCGTAAGGGAAGCAGTTCTGTGGTATGATGTTATCTCATCATGTACTGCCGCGGTCACGCTCCCCCGCTTCAAAACATACGAAGGTCGTCTTTGGTTGAAAGGCACACCCTCATCCCCCGAAAGACAGAAACGAGTGACGAGACCATATCACCATATCAACAGACTCCTGGCCGGCTTCACGGCGCTATTACTATTACTAGAGTGGCGCAACAAGAGGCTCTACGGGAAGGGTTTTACCAGGCGGGGCTAATGAACCCGAGTGAGGCGGGGTCAATCGCACACCGGATGGGGCGCACATGGACCAGGGTGCTGTCACAGCCTTGAGCAGAAATGGAATGCGTGATTTGGTAGCACTTCCTGCAAAGCCAGGCAAGCACCTTGCTGACAAGCACAACTAGAGAGCCTGCCACACTTCGCGCTATGTATTGCTACACCAGCACTGCGCGATTTTCGACAACAAAAAAATCTTAAAATCAATTCTCGACAAACAATGCTTCATATCGTGAAGGAACAGTATGTCCCGAAGCTCTTGTTGGTTCACGCTCCACAGAAGTTTTCGTCATAAGCCGTAAGCCGTAGTCTGCAAGGCAGGCCACTCCTTTCACACTTGAACGTTACGCAGTGGGATTGACCGGGCAAACGTGTACACGGTACAGTAGACTACGTAAGAAACCACCCCCCTGGACTCATTGCCCTAACTCAATGACACTCCACGACGAAGAGAATGCCAAGATTAGTTTCGTCACGATTTCGAAAGGCCATCGACGAACAGATTCCAAAGCCTTCATCTCAGACGTCGTCGATGGTTTTGCTGCAGAGAGAGATCGGGCTTTGAAGATCAGTCATAAAGGGCTGTGGCATCTTACGGATGAAAACTACGGCAGCGTCCATCAGCACTCCGAGTGTTACCACCCATTTTTGTTTGGCGTGTGGCGGGAGTTGCACCACGACATGAGCTTCCAACGATGGGTGCGTTGGTTGGTGTGCTGGTTAGATTTGTTCCGTGCTTGGAGCGCTCTCGGCTTCGTTCGATGCATTTTGATTTGTGTCATATGCATGAGAACAAGCAATGTTCCGTGCTTCGCTTTGATTTGGGTGTTTTTGTTGGATCAGATGCACGAGAACAAGTACCTGCACCTGCCGGTGGTGGATGAGGACAGCGGTAACGTGTTGGGGGTGGTGAGCGTCATGGAGATCATCCAGGCCACGGCGGGCGAGGAGGGGAGCACGGGGTAAGACTTTCGGCGAAGAGTTAGGACTGAGACGAAGCTAGGACTTTGCCTGGAGACTTGCGACGAAATTCAGATTCAGGCGTAAACAACTCAGGGCTAACAACTGAGACTAAACATGCTGGGACCAAAGACAACACTCCCAGCTATGACAAGACGATACTGGTTCATCGTGGACGAATAGTTTTTGTTTTGGTCGATTCCATTTCAAGGAAAGACGTCGCCAATTCCTCCCCCCCCCCCCCCACGATAACACTCGTACCATGCGTGTGCGAGCAAAGAATGGCACAAGAAGTTGGCCGAAGCACGTACCGCAAAAGCCAACATCAGGTTCTTTTTCGGAACAGTTTCCGAGAGATAGCCCCGCAATCCATTTCACGCACCGATTCTCCTCGCCGCCGTCCCGCTCTGTTTTCTGTCCACTCTTTTTTTTTTTTTCGGTCGCCCCCCTTTTAAAAGATGGCAAGCGTTGTTCGGGTCGGGGCTGAACGCGAGAGGGGACGGTATCTCCGACACGTCTTCCCAAGCGAGCATGGGCAGCATCGGCACTCGAGCATCGGCCAGGGTGGGTGTTGGCAGGGGCAAGACCAGTCCCCGCGTGGCAATGACACCGTCGGCAGCGTCCTCCGTGAGGGGCAAGGAGCCGCCCAAGAAGACTGATAGTCGACCGGTGTCGATGCTCAAGCCGAAGGTGAAAGAAGAGCGCGTGGTGTGTTTTGGTCGTATTTTTTTTTTGTGGCGTGCTGTTGTCTTTCTTCTTCATATTTTGCTCTAGCCCAAGGTAGGAGAAGAGCGCGTGGTGTGTTTTGCCACGGTGTTTTGTGGATTGTTGTTGTTGTTGTTGCTGCTGCTGTTGGGTGTCTTCAATTCATGCTCTAGCCCAAGGTAGAAGAAGAGCGCGCGGTGTACAATATTATCTCGTTGTTCTGTGGGATGTTGTTGCAGGTTGTCGCTATTCTTGCTGTTCTTGTTGTTTGGACATCAAGTAAGCGCATTTCGGACTACTGCTGTAGGGCCTTTACAAAGTATTGCCCATGTTTGCAATACCACTTGGAATCTTCTCGCAAATGTGCCTTCCTCAAACACAGTCAAGGGGGCGGTCAAGATTTGTCAACAGCGTCCTGCCGTTAAGCTGCAAGTGCCACCCGGCTGTAATTTTTTCCCCCACATCGCGATCGCGTTGCTCTTGAAGCCACCGCTGTGCCTGCCAAGCACCATGAGCGTGTTGGAGGTGGCCAAGAAGATGGCGGACGTTCGTACCGATGCGGCGATACTCCTGGACAACAAGGGCCATCTGGAGGGCATCATCAGCGATCAAGACGTTGCGAGGTGCACAGGGGTTCGCTGTGTTACTGGGTCGGCGGGCTTGGTGCTGCTGTCTAGCGGGTTTTGTTTTTTTCGCTACAGTATCACCATGCGCCGCGTTTACTACTGTTGGAAAATCTGTTTTCCACGAAGCGCGCATCGTAGCAGGGCGTAAACGAAACCTGCTCAGTTGCTTCTTTGTTGTACCACTCCGTGCCTTGCGTCGCGAGCGGCGTCATGCGTGTGTACACATTGTGTTGTTTGTGGTCTGACGTGGTTGCTGTTGGCGTTAACTCATGAATCAGGCGGGTGGTGGCGAACAGACTGGACCCGTCTTCGACAACGGTGAGCGAGGTGATGACGCCGCACCCGACCATCGTGCACATGGCCGACAGCGCCATGGAATGCCTGGGCATCATGATCGAGAAGCGATTCAGACATCTGCCGGTGAGATTGAGGAAGACACACATTTTTTGAAGCGTGTATCTACAGACGGCGCCACCACTTCACAACCTCTTTTGTTGCTGAGGCTCATCCTCTTGTGGGGTGTTACCCAACAGCGACTGATGTATCTAGGTGATAGTATAGCATTGAATACTGAACACCTGTTTTACGGTGAAGATCTTTGGTTTCGATTTACTTTAGCCTGGCGTTATGACTCCCAGACTGTTGTTTGGCGCCTTCGTCAACCAAAACATGGTGTTGAAGACGATCATTGGAGATAGGATGGAAGACTGTACACAGAGTTGTAAAAGTTTCGGTGTGGTTCGTGGACGTTCGCTGGGCTGTTCAAGTCCAAAACACGATAGCATTCTGAGCTAGGGAAACGTCACACCGCGGCCGGAAGCTAGCTGGGAGTAAGTTGGTCCTGCTCAATGCTTTTAGTACCACTGCTATGCTCTCATGAGCCAGCCCACTCCGGAGGGATCATATCTTGTGCTGTGGACGAACGTGATTCGGTATGATCGCCAGGTGATCGATGGCGAGGGAAACGTGACTGGTCTCCTCAGCATCGCCAAGTGCCTGTACGACGCCATCCAAAGGCTCAAGAAGAAGGCTGCAAGGGCTGAGAACAGCGGCGGCGGCGGCGGCGGCGGCGGCGGCGGCGGCGGCAACGCCGACCTAGCGGCGTCGGTGCTCCAGGTTAGCAGGCGTTCTTCCGTCGTTACTACAGCGCAAAGCCTGTTCTCGAGCTTCGCTGATCTATGTTTTACGTTTAGGGATAGCGTAGATCGTGCATACTTACTCGTAGATCGTGTGTAGACCGGGGTCAGAGCAGATGGCGAATACCGTTGGTGATGATTCATGATTTATGATTTTTTCATACACCGGCCCCGCAAGCGTTACAAACTGCGGCCCCCAACTCAGGCGGCTGGCCTCACGCAGAACTTGACGTGTCTGTCAATTCTGTTTATTCTGGACGGTATGTGTAAGCTCTCACACAGAGGAAACCTGTTGTGTCATTGTGTTGCGGCTCAGATGGCCAACGCCGGGAAGGGGAAGGGCAAGAACAAGACGAGAGACCTCCAGGCCGCCCTGGCGATGCTGCTGGCCAACACCTCAGACGAAGCCGAAGCGGTGGGTTAGGGTTAGCCAATAGGGTGATGTGTGTGTTAGGGTTAGCCAATAGGTGATGTGTCGCATTATTGAGTTGCCGCGAACTGATTGCAAATTGGTCGTTGAAGTGCAGAGATTGCAGTAGTATTGTCGATAACTACCGCTGCCAAGAGATGCTGATCGCCTTGTTTCGGGTCCGTCCTTCATTTCGGGACCACGCGATCGATGTTCCCTGTCGGTACCGCTCGCTATCTGTCGCTGCTCTCTCTCTCGCGCTCTCTCTCTCGCGCTCTCTCTCTCGCGCTCTCTCTCTCTCGCTCTCTCGTTGCGCTTTTTGCTACTGAGAAGAACCATTCCCTCAGAGAAATACTGGCGGAGCAAACGACATCTTTCGTGGGAGGGCGAGACTCAATCACGACTGCCGCTGCCGCCATCGCCAAGGGCAGAAAAGCGGTGAGACACGCGACGTTTCGAATTTTTCCCGTAACCGCTGCTTCGGAGAGAAAACGTCACATTCGCTGGAACACAACAGACGCGAAAGTCTCCACCGGTCCCTCGCCAGGATATTCTTGCCCGGGGTATGTCTCGGGGTGCCTATCTGTTGGCTTGATTCTCGAAAACGTTGAGCCACCCGCAGCCAGAGGGAATGTAGGCAAATATGTGACATCTTCTCGTGGCATGAAGATGTTGGATGTAACCTGCAAGCCACCGCCATGTCCGGCATGGAATATATCGCAGGTTCCTCACCGATAGGATGGGATGGTCCATTTCTAGTGCACCGAATTTTTGCCCGTTGTTCTCAGTTTTTTGTCACCCTCTTATCTCTGGTCGTGTCTAGGTTTTTGGTTTCTGCCATTGCCAACCAAGCTGCTGGTCGTTACGTCTGAGTAAATTGTCGCTATCTGTTGCCGCGGTAATTAATTCTTTTTTTAAACAGGTGCTGGTCCTCGACCAGGGGCGACTCGCGGGAATATTGACCCCGAAGGACGTGCTGATGAGGGTTGTGGCCAAGGAGCTCGACCCAGACCTTACCCCTGTGTCCTCCATCATGACCCCGAACCCAGACACGGTGCCCCCGGAGATGACGGCGGTCGAGGCTCTCGGAGAGGTATGTGTGGCAAGTGTCAAGTGACTTTTGTGCGTGAGAGGTACGGCAAGTCAGTGTTTTGCGTTGAGATAATGGTAAGTATTTATTTGCGTTGAGAGGGTGGCATGTGATTGTTTGAGAGGATGGCAGCGTTTTATTGTGTGTGTGGCTGTAGTATTTCGCGACAGCTTGAGAGAATGTTCATTTTTCCGGTTTTGTGTGTTTAGTTGTCACAAGTGCGCGAGAGAAGTCAGCGAAGCGTTCTCGGCGTAAAAAAAACGTTCGAAAGGGTGCGACAGATAGGCGCAGGTGTTTTGTTGTGCTGCTCGGAAGGTAGGAGTGGGTTGCCGGCGTCATGTACTCGGATGCGCTTCGTGCTTGTGGCGACGTTTGATGATCCGCCGGAGGGTTGCGAAGCTGTTATTTTTATTTTAGAATACGCTCGCGCGCGGGCCGTGATGTGCCCGTCTTTCTTTTTTTGTTGTGGTCAGATGCACGAGAACAAATACCTGCACCTACCGGTGGTCGACCTCGATGTGGGCACCGTGGTGGGGGTGGTGAACGTGATGGAGATTCTGCGGGCCACCGCTGGAGACAAGGGCAGTTCGAGGTACGTTTGGTTGATGGTGGCTGTCTTGCGTTAGCCGGTAAATCCACTGCAGACCTCCGGACGTGGCGTTCTTGTGCACGAAAGCCGCGTGTGCGAGGCAGGCAGGCTGGAGGTGATGACGACGACGGCGGTGTACGGCCTGTACTGACAAAGAAACTAGGACCAAATGCTATGAGCCAGACGATCCGCGAGAACTCAAAGCCGGAAAGGCAGAATTATAACACCGGTTAGAAGTGGTCCAATGCTTTGTTGCATTCTGTCGCAGCACGCCTCTGCCTGTGTTGTAATTCCTTCGTCTGTCTGTGTTAAAACGGCCGGTTGTTCCGCTCAGCTGGGACGCCTTGTTCGGATCTGCCATGGACGCCGGCGATGACGTGTCCGACTCAGCCTCCATGTACAGCATGGAAAGGAGCGTCATGTCCGCCAGGCAGAGAAGAGGTCCTGGAGTTCCGACGGCGGCAGCGGTGGGGTCGGTGGCTGCTGCAGAGTCTGTCAGGAACGAAGACCACCACCGGCCGGTGTCGAGCCTCAAGCCTAAGGTGTGGGGCAGCCGTGTTGACTTGTTGGGGTGGAGTGGCCGCTACCGTTGGCATTCATATGTGCTGTGGGGTCGGGATGTGGAAGGGGGTCGTCTCGGACCCTGCCGCGTTTTGTCCGGCCAAGGAGAACTAAACCAAGGTTTATCTTTGGCTTTTCGCTTGTCTCCGATGGAGTCAGCTCGCTTACGCAAGCCTGGTTGTCTTGTACGTGCAATGATGCAATGATGGCAAGTGGGACGGGTGACGTGGCAGTGTGCCCGCAAGAGGCAAGAGGTAAGAGGCAAGAGGCAAGAGGCAAGGTAAGGGTACCCGCGACAACGACCAAGACACGATGACAGGGTGGGTGACGTTTTACTTAATAAATATTGACAGCGTTGTTTCGTGTTACACTGGAAACCTACCCTGCACACGACGTGTATCGGTACACCACGAGCCTAGTGGTATCGTCGACTGCTCTGCATGTTGTGTTTCTCCCCGATTGCTTGCGCACCCTCCCGCTCCCCCTGCTACGGACGTTTGACCCGTTGTCGCTTCGATCTGTGTTGCTTTCTTCTAACCGTCAACCACCTCGCCTGCTGCCTCGCTGGTTCTGCGTTGCTCTTTCTGCGGACGCAGCCCCCTCTGTGCCTCTCAGTCGACCTTACCGTCGCCCAGGTGGCCAAGAGGATGGCGGAGATCCGAACAGACGCAGCCATCCTTCTCGGGCAAATGGGGGACATGAAGGGCATCCTCACCGACCACGACGTCGCCAGGTATGTACAGATAGGAACCTTGTCGTTGAACGAGCCGTTAGAGAAAGGATACGGTACGGTTTAGTGGCAAGGACAGCGGTTGGACGATATGTGTCCGCATGGTTGGGATGGGATCAGTTGTATCTACATCCCGACGAGGAGATATTTTGTGGGGGAAGGAGACCGGAGAAGAGCAATACCTCTCAGTCAATGCCTCAGTCAGACCGGTGAAGGAGGACGGGCGTCCGTCAAAGGGTGGCTCTGGCTGTGTGCCAGATGTATCGTGGCGTTCCTTATACGGATTACCGAAGGGGTCCTATGCATGCAGCCTCAGGCCGGTATTGACTAGTGTACGGGTGGCGTAGGATAGCAAGGCCCGATTGCATCCGAATAGTTGTTACTAACGCACCGCACCGTAAAGGAGAAATACCGGTGGGTTCTTCCAAAAAAAATGCTGTTGTATCACCTTGACGAGTGATCGTTTTATCGTCCGTATGCATAGATCTCGGCAATGGCGTCAGCACCTTAATGTGACGCTCCTGCACCGCAGTGATGCCTGTGTTGCCTCCGTTGGTGAGAGCATCGTGACGTCAATCATGTTTTGCTAGCAATTCGTTCTGAAGTTTCGACTCCGGGTCCCCCTGAGCAGGAAGGTAGTTGGCCGGTCGCTGGACCCTAGCCGCACCCCAGTGTCGTCGGTAATGACGCCCGACCCCATCTGGGTGACCACTACCGACAACGCCATGGACGCCTTGGAGACGATGCTCGAGACTCACTCCAGACACCTGCCGGTAAGTCACAACCCCCCCCCCCCCC